ACTCTCACTCTGTAAAATCTTATTCTGACACTTATTAAAATGGTGAGAAAGATGGATTATCGCAATAGGGGCCAACACTGTCCCAGTCAGAGAGAGACTGGATTCAACTCTGAATACAGTTGTTGCTCTAATGGTCCAGGATTGAGCAACGAGAATGAAGACAGACCACGAAATCCGGTGCGATGGGTCAGGGGACCTGCAGCCTCTATAGGACTGAAATGCAGAATCCACGCTGAGTCCAGCTTTTATTCCTAATTGTAGACACAAGACTTTCTCAGCTCTTATCTTTCTCAAGACACATGCTGTTTCAGTCACATACTCCTATATGTCATCGACTACACTGACAGAGTCCAGATCTCCTTGTTTTTACCCCAGGCCTCTCCCTTCTGGGCTAGTCTCAGGAACAATTAGCAAGTGAGTAAGCAGCAAGGAGAAGGGGACGACAGAGGATGAAATGGTTGGATGGCATCACCAACACAATGGACATGGGTTTGGGTGGACTCCGGGACTTGGTGATGGACAGGGAGGCCTGGCGTGCTGCAGTTCATGGGGTCACAAAGAGTCGGACACGACTGAGCGACTGAACTGAACTGAAGCAATATTCATGCCTGACTCCGACTTGGTGTTCCAAGGTCCATGCTTTCATGATCCCAGTCATACTTCCTTCTGGGTCTGGCCTTGGGGTTTCTAACAAGGCTATTATTCTAAGAAAAACATGAAAGATAATCATTAACATAGTTTCTTAATATATGCTGTTTTTCCAGGTGCTATTTCCATGGAATTTCTCAAGGCTGTGAATGTACATTATTAGGAATTCCCGCTACATACAGTAAGGACAAATGGATATTTATAGGCAATGAGCAGAATGAGAGTCAATGGATGGAAAATTACATCAAGGATAAGAAGATTCTTGCTAAACCAACTTAGAATTCTTGCTAAAAGCAAGCTAAGGAGATCAGAAATTAAGGGTAAGGGGATTCTTGCTAAACTGATATCGGATTCTTCCTAAAAATGGCTACAGGCCCAAGGATGAGGTCTATCGGAAAAGAGGGCTCAGGGGGCCTGTTTAAAATTTGGTCAAGGAGAGAGTTTTTGTTAATACACATATAAAAATGAACACCTGTTAAAGTGTTTTTATTTAATTCACAAGGAAACAAGCAAGACTCTTGAGTGTCCCTCAGACAGCAAGGAGATCAATCCCAAAGGAAGTCAACCTTGAATATTCATTGGAAGGACTGATGCTGAAGCTGAAGCTCCAATACTTTGGCCACTTGATATGAAGAGCCAACTCATTGGAAAAGACCCTGATGCTGGGAAAGACTGAAGGCAGGAGGAGAAGGGGATGACAGAGGATGAGGTGGTTGGATGGCATCACCGACTCAATGGATATGAGTTTGAGCAAGCTCTGGGAGATGGTGAAGAACAGGGAAGCCCGGCATGCTGCAGACCGTGGGGTCGCAAAGAGTTGGACACAACTGAGCAACTGAACAAAAGAATAGACACATTTATGTAGGTCAGGGGTACAGAAATATGAAAATGAAGGCAAAACTGTTTTTTCCACAATGTTGGAAGGAGGGGGTTAATTGAACCTCTGTCAGACAACAGAATTTACATTGGGTCAGTTACCTACAGAGTTGTAAAATAGCCGCATGGAAACAGAAACTTATACAACAGAAGGACACGCTATAGACAAGTACTTTAGGTTTCCTGTCACTTCTGGGAACTCTTTCCCAAACTTCAACTTGTGAATGAGGTGCAATTTCTAGGTTATCATATTTATTACACTATATTGCGTGTAACTCCTCCCATCCCCACATAAGAACATGAGATTTTTGAGGCAGACACTGTGAGTTATTCAAGTTTTCTCAGTGTGATCATCTGCTTCTAAGGAGCACAATATTTGAAGAGGGTAGTAGAAGCCACAAGATAAACATATTGCGTATTAAGGGAGCTTCCATCTTATTCTAACATCTGGAGAAACACATTTTTACATTAAAGCAGACACTGCCCTTCCCTTCATACTCAATGTTTCCTTGTCTTATTAACCATTTCTATTTCAAGGCCTGAGGAATACCTTGGGGATACAAAAATGTGCCAGAGTGGTCTGCAAAGATGTATGAGCTTCCATCTTATTCTAACATCTGGAGAAACACATTTTTACATTAAAGCGGACACTGCCCTTCCCCTCATATTCAATGTTTCCTTATTTTATTAACCATTTCTATTTCAAGGCCTGAGAGATAGCTTGGGGGTACAAAAATGCACCAGAGGGGTCTGCAAAGATGTACCCCAAGCAGGAAACAGCTTTGATAATAAGTGGCACTAGGTTGCAGGGGGGCCACTGACACATTGAGAATCGTATTCAGACCAGCCTGGGGTGATAGGTCTTCTAACATACCCGCCTCTCAGTCCTTCTTGGCCCCAAGGAAAGTCCTGGTTTGACAGGCTGTTTTTATAAGTCTAGGGGTGGGGACTGGACATGGAACAACAGACTGCTTCCAAATCGGGAAAGGAGTACATCAAGACTGCATATTGTCACACTGCTTATTTAACTTATATGCAGAGTACATCAAGCGAAATGCCAGGCTGGATGAAGCACAAGCTGGAATCAAGGGAGAAATATCAATAATCTCAGATATGCAGATGACACCACCTTTATGGCAGAAAGCAAAGAAGAACTAAAGAGACTCTTGATTCTGAAAGTGAAAGGGGAGAGTGAAAAAACTAGATTAAAACTCAACATTCAGAAAACTAAGATCATGACATCCGGTCCCATCACTTCATGGCAAATAGACGGGCAAACAATGGAAACTGTGACAGACTTTATTTTGGGAGGCTCCAAAATCACTGCAGATGGTGAGTGGAGCCATAAAATTAAAAGACATTTGCTCCTTGGGAGAAAAGTTATGACCAGCCTAGACAGAATATTAAAAAGCAGAGACATTACTTTGTCAACAAAGGTCTGTCTAGTCAGAGCTATGGTTCTTCCAGTAGTCATGTATGGATGTGAGAGTTGGATCTTAAAGCTGAGCCCTGAAGAATTGATGCTCTTGAACTGCGGTGTTGGAGAAGACTCTTGAGAGTCCTTTGGACTGCAAGATCAAACCAGTCCATCCTAAAGGAAATCAGTCCTGAATATTCATTGGAAGGACTGATGCTGAAGCTGAAACTCCAATAGTCTGGCCAACTTATGTGAAGAACTGACTCATTTGAAAAGACCCTGATGCTGGGAAAGATTGAAGGCAGGAGAGGGGAAAACAGAGGATGAGATGGTTGGATGGCATCACCGACTCGATGCACGTGAGTTTGGTCAAGCTCCGGGAGTTGGTGAAGGACAGGGAAGCCTGGCGTGCTGCAGTCTATGGGGTCGCAAAGAGTCGGACACGACTCAGAGGCTGAATTGAGGATTGGGGAATCGAATCCTGCCAGGGGTCGGCCCAGTGGGGAAGAGCCCCTGCCCTGGTTCCCAAAGGGTCGAGCCCCTTGTTGCCTGTGGCCTGAAGCGAGCCCCACCACCCCGGCGGTGCTCGGACCCTGCGCCCCACGCCTGGGCGGCTCCCCTCTGAGGCCCCGCCCCGTGACGTGAGGCTCCGCCCCCGCGGCGCCCGCTTCCAAGATGGCGGCAGCGATTCCTGCCCGGCTGTCCGGGTGGCGGTGACGACGGGCGGCAGAAGGCCAGGTGTGTAGGCTGGAGATGGTGGGGTGGGAGGCCCTGGAGAAAGGTTTGGGAGATTGGGAAGGTGAGAAGTTTGGGGTAAAGGCTGTAAACAGCCTTGAGCAAGGAGGGAGACCTAAGTGCAAGTCCGGATAGAGGCCGGTGGGCTCACTTTGCGAGGTAGAGCAGTCGCCAGAGGAGGTTGGCATGGGATGAGAGGAGGCTGCTCCGAAAGAGCTGGGCTGTAACCCCTTCCAGACCGCTGACCACGCCCCTCTAGGTGAGCTAGCCCAGGTTCTTCTGACAGGTTCTGCTCAGCCCTCCCTCTCCCCATCTCATTTCATCAATAACCCTGATCCCGACCCTCGCCAGGATGGAGAAAGGTAGAAGGTAGAGGACGCCACCCCCATCCTATTTCCTGCCACGCTCCGGGGTTGTTTGCTTGCAGCTCCCAGGTGGTCACCTCCCTGCACCTGCGGAGCTAGCTGCCATAAATGTGAAGAACGGAAATGAGCCAGTTTCCTCCGCCTCCCTGGGTTCTCTTGAGGCCACTTCACAGTCCTGTTACGACTGCCTCACCCAGATCTCCAGTAGCTGCCCTGTCCCCACTCCCCAAACAGGTTGGTCCTGTTGGGGTGGGGGATGGTTAAATACCGAGTGAATCTGACATGCTATAGGATGGCTGGGGCAGAGCCGGGGACCTAGCATCTCCTGCTCCACCCCTTTTCTCTCCTACCACTTTCCCTCGCTCGGGGAAACCGGCTTCACCCTGTTCCTGCTCTCTGCCCCTCTGAGGGTGGCTGGCTATCCTTGACCACTTCTGTTCCAGCTGGTCCCAAGATTGCTGTTGGAGTGCTGGATGGAGCCTGTCTCTGTCTTTTGTTACATTTCCAATTTTATATAATGCTTCACATCTCTGCTCCCCCGGGACCTCCTGGAGTCCCCATGATCCTGAAGAAGACAGTTTGAATCTAGGTGAGTCTATCTCTCCCCCTCTAAGATTGGAAGGAATGTTCTCCAGAGAATGCTCTGGAATGGCCTTGGGACCTGAATGATGTAAGCATTCTTGGGGGTAGGGACTGAGTAGGTGGTAGGAGTGGCTTGAGGGAGGGGTGGTGGAGAGTGAAACTTAGGCTGGAAGTGACAGGTGGTGCGGCCTGCTGATGGTTACGTTCTATTTCTTTTTGTATACTTGTGTGCGCCCTTGTGTGACTTTGTTCTTTTCCTTTTCCCTCTTTACCCCTGTCCACCACCTTCATCAATACCCGATGATCTCCCTGCTGGCATGCTGTCTTCCTGTCCCCCCAGAACTCTCCTCTCTCTCTCATCCAGACCTCAGCGCAGGATGTTGCGGAGGTTGCTGGAGCGGCCCTGCACGCTGGCCCTGCTTGTGGGCTCCCAGCTGGCAGTCATGATGTACCTGTCGTTGGGGGGCTTTCGAAGCCTCAGTGCCCTCTTTGGCCGAGAGCAGGAGCCGACATTTGACTATTCTCATCCACATGATGTCTACAGTAACCTCAGTCACCTGCCTGGGGCCCCTGTTGCCCCAGGGGGCCTCCCAGCTCCTCAAGGCCTGCCGTACTGTCCAGAACGATCTCCTCTCTTAGGTGAGTGCAGAAGGAAGGCAGAAGTGAAGGCAAGCCAAGGTGTGGGGACAGGGGGCTTGGACAAGTATAGGATGACAGCAGTGGGTCTTCAAACTGGAAGGTCATGGAACTGGAAGTTAAGCTAATGTTGAGATAGAATGGACTCTAACTTTGGAGTTTCGACTTGGGTTCTTTGATTGAGCCACAGCTTTGCACTGCCTGCCCGTTTATGGGCTCTTCTTGCCTCAGGGTAGGATTAGGAATTAGTTGGAAGTCCTGTTCTCTCTACCTGCTAACTGTAAGCTTCCAACCTTGTGAGGCAGGGGAGAGTTAAGGAACCCTAAAATAAGGCAGGCTAGGTGAGGAGCCTTCACCTTCCAGACTTTGCAAAGTTGTTCCAGTGATGGGGAACTCAAGGCTTTGTCTGAGCAGGCCCTTGAGGGAGCTGAGTCTCAGAGTCAGACTGCCAGGGACAGGCCTCCCTGACCTTCTAACCCCTGACCTTATCACCCCCCCTCCCCCTGACAGTGGGTCCTGTGTCTGTGTCCTTCACCCCGGTGCCGTCGCTGGCAGAGATCATGGAGAGGAACCCCCGGGTGGGGCCGGGGGGCCGATACCGCCCTGCAGGCTGTGAGCCCCGGTCCCGGACAGCCGTCATTGTGCCTCACCGTGCCCGGGAGCACCACCTGCGCCTGCTGCTCTACCACCTGCATCCATTCCTGCAGCGCCAGCAGCTTGCTTATGGCATCTATGTTATACACCAGGTACTCCCAGTCCCCACGCCACTGTGATTTTCTTTTTTATAAGGAAGCCTCAAGCAAATTCCACTCCACTCGCATATAATGGGTCTCAAAATAATTAAAAGAGGGTCAGACTGGAATGTAAGAAAGCAGCAGCTTGCACTGCTCTGCCAACACGTTAGCCCCATGCTTCTTCTTAAGGATATTCCCGTCGTCCTGTAATCTTCATGATTTTTCCGTTGTTGAATTTGGAAGTGGACAGATTTGGGCTAAAGTTCTGGTTCTGCCATTTGTTCCATATGTGACCTTGAGCAAGACACCCAACCTGCTAAAATGAGGCAAAGAGTGGTAACCAACATACCACCTATTTCACATAGTTGTTGGGATTAAATGCTAAATAGTAGCATGTCTGTGTCAGGCACATTTGTGTGTTAGTCACTCAGTCATGTCCAATTCTTTGCGACCCCATGGACTTTGCCAGCCAGGCTCTGCTGTCCATGGGATTCTTCAGGCAAGAATACTGGAGTGAGTTGCCATTCCCTTCTCCAGGGGATCTTCCTGACCCAGAGAGCGACCCCGGGTCTCCTGCATTGCAGGCAGGCTCTTTACCGTCTGAGCCACCAGGGAAGCCCATCTGGCACATACTGATGCTCAAAAATTTTTTGTTGAATGAAAAAACAAAGAAGTTGTCTTTCTCTTCATCCTCTTTATCCCGTAACCCACTCTGACTTCCCTCCTTTCACTTTTATGCTTCTTCTCCATGCCACCTATAGACCTAGTTGGTCCTCCTCCATTATCTTCCAGGCTGGAAATGGAACATTTAATAGGGCAAAGCTGCTGAATGTTGGGGTGCGGGAGGCCCTGCGTGATGAAGAATGGGACTGCTTGTTCCTACATGATGTGGATCTCCTGCCAGAAAACGACCACAATCTGTATGTGTGCGACCCCCGAGGACCTCGGCACGTTGCTGTTGCCATGAACAAGTTTGGATACAGGTAGAGGGCGGGAGGGTACTGGAAGCAGGGTGTTCCACCATCCAGTGGAAGAAGGAGGGATGGCTCCCAGAAGACATGTGGAATCCAGGGATCTTTCTCTCCCTAGCCTCCCATATCCCCAGTACTTTGGCGGGGTTTCGGCGCTCACTCCTGACCAGTACCTGAAGATGAATGGCTTCCCCAATGAATACTGGGGCTGGGGTGGTGAGGATGATGACATTGCTGCCAGGTGAGACTTCTTGCCACCACCCTCTTCCCCAGCCCCAGCCTGGATCCCCGTCCTCTAAGACCACCTCTAGCCCTAGTCTTTTAACACTCATTTAGCTCCCTGGTCCTGAACAGTGCCTATTCCTCTCCCTTATCTTTCAGCCTGCCCAGGTCAGGCTTTGCATGCTGCTCCCCCTTCTGTCATCCTTCAGTCCCTTGGACCTGGTTAGTAACATTCCCGGGAGAGAAGACAAGATCAATACAATCAATCCCAACAGTATCATGGGATTCCAGAGCTGGAAAGTGGCCTAGAGACTGTTTAGTCCTGCCTCTGCTAGGATTGCATCCAAACCACTTCCTGCAGAGTTGGAAGAGGAAAGGCTCTGCTCCACAGAGTCCAGAATCACTTTAAAAAAATAAATAAATAAAGGGCCTGTGCCATTGGCATGATGCCAGCTTATTTTTAGCATGTGAAACATTTTGACCTTCAGCCTCAGCTGACCCAATTTCATATGTCATTTGACTATTTGGGCTTGATATGCTGGGCCCCTTGCCTCTCCTCCTGGTTTGTCCTCTAGGATGACATCTCTATGAATTCTTGTCTTCTCTATGTGTGTAAAGCACCCAGCAATTTCTAAATGTATGTATTCTTTCAGTACCTTCCCCAGCCATCCTCATTCTTGCTTCTGTGTATCAGAATTGGAGTTCATTTCTTTCCAGGCCGATTTCCTGGTTCCACCCTTTTCTTAAATGTAGGTGGGGGGTAGGAGTGCAGCAGAGCTGAAGCTGCTCAGCCACTAATCTCATTAAGAATTGCTGAACTTCGGTTTGTGGTTCCCAGTCTTGTCCTACCTTTTTTGACAAAATGGTTCCTCTCCCTGTCCTTTCCAGACAGCAAAGGCAGCTCCTGGGAGCCATTTAGGAAACAGGTGGGAGGTGCAAACTTACCCCCGCCAATTGTTTATAGGCCCCAGGGTGCCTGCACTAGGCCCTGAGGATTTGGAGACAACTAGCTTTTACATTCTCTTCTGCCTTTCCTTCTTTCTGTTTGACTTTTCTGTTCGCCCTTCCAGTACTGGCCCTTTGTCGAGTTAGTAATAGTTATTCTTTGTGTAAAGAAACATGCAATTCCTTCCTTGCTGGCCTTAGCTCTTCTTGCTGACCTGTCAGCAGCTTTCTTCCACTCCGGATCCTCCAAGGTACCCTCGCTTTTCCCATAGGGTTCGCTTGGCTGGGATGAAGATCTCTCGTCCCCCCACATCTGTGGGGCACTATAAGATGGTGAAACACCGAGGAGATAAGGGCAACGAGGAAAATCCCCACAGGTAGGCCGGGAGGGTTGCCTGGGATTTATTAGTGAATCCTCAGGGCTCTACACCCCAGCCAGGCAGCTCCTAAAAGTTTCTAGATTCCTGGCTGTTCCTTTCCGGGTCTTAGTCTCCGATCTCTAACCCTCAGATTTGACCTCCTGGTCCGTACCCAGAATTCCTGGACTCAAGATGGCATGAACTCACTGACATACCAATTGCTGTCTCGAGAGCTGGGCCCTCTCTATACCAACATCACAGCAGACATTGGAACTGACCCTCGGGGTCCCCGGACTTCCTCTGGTCCCCATTACCCGCCTGGTTCCTCCCAAGCCTTCCGTCAGGAGATGCTGCAGCGCCGGCCCCCAGCCAGGCCTGGCCCTCTGCCTACTGCCAACCACACAGCTCCCCATGGTTCACACTGACTCCTTCTTAATCATGAAGCTGAATCTTTCCCACTTTAATCATGAAACTGAATCGGAGGGGTTACATTTTCCCCACCCTCGGCTCCTCACTGCTCTTGGAGGGATGTGGGGGAACTGAGCTTCACTGCTGTGCTGGGAGCAGGGGCCTCTCCTCACTGCTGGACTGGAGCTGGGCTCCTCTGGCCCTGGGGGTCTCTGTTTCTAGGGTCACCTGCCAGGGCTTATGACTGTGAATCCTTGATGTCATGACATGTGATGACTACTAGGACTCCCCTGCCCATGGGGTAGGAGCAGGGCTGGACCCCAAATCCCTTCTTCTTCCATGGAGAGAAGAGTGATCTGGCTTCTCCCGGGACCTCTGTGAATATTTATTCTATTTATGGTTCCCAGGAAGTGTGTTTGAAGGAAGCCCCTCCCTGGGTACTTTCTGCCAGTAATGGAGTAGCTCCCTCTTTTGAACCTGGCTCAGGGGGCTGGGATTTTGATATATTTTCTAATAAAGGACTTTGTCTTGCCTCTGCTCCTGCTTTCTGCATCCCAGGCACTCTCTGCCTATCTTTGCTCACCCACCCCCACCTTCTTCCCCTGGATGACAGAACAGCCAGAGCCAGCCAGGCTTTAGAAACTTTATTTTCATGGGTGAGAGAACCCCTGCCACCAGGGGCAAGAAGAAATGGGAGCTGAGGATCAACTGTTAGGTTCTGTGCCCAAGACACGGGCTACTGCCTGACGCCCACTCTCTATACAATCATTGACAGCAACCCCCTCGTAGGAGGCTCCGGCCAGGGTCAAAGGCAGCTTCTGAGCAGCCAGGAACTGGGCAGCTGACTCTGAAAGGAAAGATAAAAGAAATATCACAGCTGGGGGTCTATTTTCATGGCTCTTCTCAGCCCAGCTGCTCTCTCAACTTACCCAATTTTTGCCAGTGGCCTAATGTATACTGGGGGATAGAGTTCTGGGGAGAGAAAAAGGGATACAGGGAAAACATTATTATTGATATCCCAGGCCTGGGTGCTACGTTCCGCGGGGTCACAAAGAGTCAGACACGACTTAGTAACTGAACAACAACAGGCCTGGGTAGACAGTGACAAATGGATCAGTCCCTGCCTCCAAGGCCTGCCTCTACTAGGTAGCTGAAGAGTGTTTACCTGTGTTACCAACTCACCTTGTGTAGATGGACCAAGCAGTGACTTGGTGGCTCATTCAGTCCTAATTGAGTGGCAGCAGCTTTCTCTGCCTCCTGTTGGAACAGCTCCTGAGATAAGACACAGCCCCTGGCTTCTAGTGTCTGTAACCAGGAACCTCCCAGCATCACCTAAGGAGGGAAGATGGCGCTGACCAGCCTGTCCTTACTGCACTGGGGCGGAGAGGAGCCCTTTGGAAACCCCACTAAGCATGGCCACTTCTCTCACAGTCAGTCTGAGGCCCGGGGTGCTCCCATCCTGCTCAGGGAAAGCAACGGAGTCATACACAATTCCCAGGATAACTGGATCTTCTGAGGATGGCACCAAATGTCCAAACCCCTGGAGGAAACAAAGAGACTAGTTCAGGAGGGAAGGGTTCCAGCTGAGCCCGTGTCTGTCTCTCTTCTTCCGGGTCACACCTGCACAGGCAGACGAGCTCCTCGGTACTGCAGATTCACCACAGCCACAGACACTGCAGTGATGGTGCTCAGGGCACGGGCCAGCGGTGCGGCCTCAGCAGGGAGCAGCTTGCTGAGCACTGCAGGAGAGAGCAGCCTGCCTCAGGAGGCATTCCCAGTGCAGTTTTAGCCACCCTCCTTAGGATAAGACCCCCCACAAGGATGAGCAGTTCAAGGGCATGGTATGGTCCCGCTGGCCCAGGAAGAAGCTGGGTTACCTCACCCTGGCTGGGGAAGGGGGCGGGGGGGTGGCTATCCCATTACCTGAAGCTGGAATGGCACTAATAATGTGGTCAGCCTCCAGGCTGCTGTCCCCTAGAGACACCTGAAAGGATGAAAACATTAAAAGATGGAAATCATGGGAATTTTGCCTCAGTTTCCCAGCACCCAAATGGCAGGGAGAGATTGGATGCTGACTCAGGATGAAGAGGCTAACTATGTAGTCAGAACAAAAATCATCCCCCTGTTACTCCAGTAAGTGGGCCAGACAAAAGCCAGTGGGCCAGTTTGAAATGTTTAGTGGAGCTGGGTGGGTCTTTCCCTTAGGGGGAGCCACTTATATATAAGCACTACTTCTATCCACAGATCTAGATCAAATGGTCTTGGAGGAAGGTCCACAAATAAGGCCTAAGAACCTGGGGTACCTCATATTTAAGCAGCTTTTAGGACAGAAGAAAAAGAGAAACTCCAGTTCTGGAGTTTAAACAAAGATGAAAACTCTTAACACACAGGTTCATCACAGTCCAGGAGGCTCTCCTACCTTCCAGCGCCCTTCTGCCTGGAGACTGAGCCCACAGACTGGCTGGCCTTGGAGAACAGTGACACCCCTACTAGTCAGGTGAGCGTTCAGGGCCTGGGGCAATGTCTCCAGCCCTCCACGGAGTGACCACTGGCTCCAGCGCTCAGCCCGAGCTTGGCGAATAAGTGCTGAGTCCAGCTGTGGGCCCCGGCCTGCAGAGGAGGAAGCAGAGAAGAATCATTAAAATAGCACCCCTTGGCTCCAGTCCCTCACTCTGGCAGTCCTTAATATCTTCAACCCTTGAACCAACTGCCCCCTCACCTGCCCCCAGCAGCAGCCCCAGTAATATGGAACGATGGGTTTGCTCAGCTTGGAAGAGACTGGGAAAGCAGGACCTGATGCTGAGCTCACGGCTGTTGCCTGCAAACACTCCACGGCAGAGACTGTCCATGGCTAGAGACGCCACCTTAAGGGTGAGACTAGGATTGAGAGGCCAAGGAATAAACTGCACTAATTTCCACTGATCCCTGCTTGGTAGGGAATGGAGGCAGTATGGGTTTACCTGGAAAGCAGTCTGGCTACAACAGATGGGACGGGAAGGAACTGAAGGCATTCACCTCAACACTGAGTTTGGGGGGCTACTGGGTATGAAGAAGAGGGCATGTTCAGAGGCTACAGAAGAGGCCCTCGTGGTAGACTTGCAGCTGGTTCAGAAGGGGAGGGATTTGGGGGCTTCTGGGTGGTGGTACCTCAGAACCAAGGCGGCGCTGGGCAAAACTGTGCACAGTCTCATCAGGGTCTTTGCCACGAGGGGTGGTCAAATCCCTCAGCCCAGCCCAGAACAGAGGTTTGGAGAAGGGAGGTGAAGGGCGGAGGAGCCCCCTGTATGGAGGAAGGCACAGTGAAAAGGGAGATCTGATTTACCTCCCCAGCTCCAGGGGATCATTTCCATTCATTTGGCCCCTTTTGCTGGGAGGGCTGACAGACTGGGAGATGAGGAAATGGAAGGGGTGTGAGGATAAGGGCAAAGGAGAAGGACGGCAGTAAGGAAGCGATAACGTTACCTGATGCCAGACGGCAAGGCATGCAGAGAACCACCAACATACAGGAACCTGTTCTGCGCAGCTGGATGGTCTCCCCGGACAGGCAGCACTTCCGAGTCCAGGCCAAGCTCAGAAACCTGCTCTCCACACGTCCTCAAGAGGAGGATATACTAAGGAAAGGGCTGGCCACCAAATCCACTTGCTCCCCTTAACTCTATCCTCTAGTGAAGGCCCCTCCGCAATCTCTCCTAAGCATTCCACAAGCCGCTCACCAGGAGCAGGGTCCGGGCTCCCAGGGGTCCCGCCGGTCGAATTCCTCGAGGTCCAAGTTCAAAAACAGCACCATCTGGCCCTCGCACTGAGCGGATCCAGCCTCCCAGGCGCTCGCTGCCCTCCACCAAGACCACCTGAGGACAAGAGGGAGACGCTGCAGCCTACGACCACAGCCGCGGTGGCAGAGGGGTCAAGAGAAGAGGGGGCGGCGCGTTCACTCTCGCGGGAAATGGGAGAGGTGTTAAAGGCGCTCCCTCTGGCATCGTGGGGCACTCACCTTGGGGGGACAGGGAGCCTGGCTCAGGTAGTAACTGGCGGCCAAGCCGCTGATCCCTCCGCCCAGCACGACCACGGTCCGGCCCATGAAGAACCCTGCGGGTGAAGACGCACTATGGCCAGGGTGACCGCAAGCACCCTGCTCTCCAGAAAACCTGCGAGCTCCGCGTTCCATCCCCGGCCATTCGCTGCTTTCGGGGAAACCAAGAGCCGGCGGATGGGGTGGTGGAACTCCGAGGTCCCCTCCCAGGGCCTAGGACTCACCCACGAGGGGAACGAGAAAAATGAGGCGAAAGGAGGAGATAGAGGTCTCAGCGCATCACCCTGCCGGCGTTCCAGGGGGACAGGGGAGGTGGATAAGGGGCACACCCACGCTATCTGCTCGCGCAGGGCTGGGGATCCAACTGGACTCCGGGGTTCGGTGGCGCGTTCCCTCCCACCCCTCTCCAGGCGGAGAGCTTTCAGCCCGCTGCCTCCGCCCCCAAGCTTTTTGGCCTCTCCGACTCCCCGTCCTTTCTAGTCTCGCGGCTGCCCCAGCCGGTAGAAGGCGGGTCTCTGAAGCTGGAGATTAACTGGTTCGATGCCGGGTTGGAGGGAGCTGCCGTTTCCCGCAAGGCCCTCCCTTCAGGGCTGGAGCGGCGAGAGCTGAATCCGAGTCAGCATTCTCCAGCTCGAGCTTCCCAGGCCCCACCTAGGGTGAGAACCCTGGAGGGAGGGTCCCATGAGCTCTGCTTGTAGGGAGAGTAGATAGGGACGCTGGAGGCAGGTCCGTGGGGAGGTGGCTCCATAAACAGCTCCTTGATGTTAGCAACAGTCTGGGCCTGTGGGAGCTCGGGCGGCCTGGCAGCGTACCGTGTTTATCCACAGGGGTCCCTGGGTACCACGCATTCGAGAGGCAGCCCCCTACGCTGGCAAAACCCGTGGACCCCCGTTTCCGCATTGCCGCTCCGGGCTTCCTTACAGCTTCCCGAGTCTCAAGTTTGCCTTCCCTCTTTTCCTCCCAGTGTAAACCTTGGCATCAACGTGTCCTGGTCCCACACCCCTATCCCCATCCCACGGCTCTGAGCGAGCCCCCACCTGTTCAGATAGGGAACTGAGTCCCAGGAAGAGTCCCCATTCGGCCTAGTTCTGTATCTCCACACCCTTAAAACACAAATACAAACAAGGACATCTTTTTTTTTTTTTTTTAATAAATTTATTCACAAAAAAAGTGAGACTGTAGAGGGTCTGGGGGCTGTACACGGGCGGGGGCCTGTGGAGCTCCGTACATGGGACTGGGAGACAAGGGAGCCTCCAGGTGAAAGGGTATTTTTTAATAAAAAAAATAACGGGAGGTACAACCACCCCCTCCCCCCTCCCCGATTAAAAAGACACAAAAATAGACGTCTCTGAGGTAAATGGGGAGCCTGGGGGCTTCAGGGTGTTGAAAGGGTTTCACAGGCACCGGGGCGGCTCCTGCATCAGTTGGTAGAACAGCACGTAGCCCTCACTGGATGCCACCTGGTTTTCACTGACAGGGGAGACACTAGGAAGAAAGGACACGGGGAAAGAGGTGTGACCAGCTCTGCGCATTCCTGCCTCCCCACAAGACCAACCTCACGGCATCCAGGTGGCGGTCAGGATGCCAGCCCCGCCCCCCACGCGGCACTGTGCTCTCCGCGGGCTTTGTATTAGGGAAGGGTGTCAGGGCTGTTGTGCGAACAGGGCAGGAGTTGAATAGCAGGCTCTTCTCACCGAGAGTCATTGTAGACATGCCAGCCAGTCTGGCACCGGCATAGGGCTGTGTAGTGGCCGTAGTGGACGCTGCCCGAGTGGTTGCAAAGGGCATACAGCTGGTACACGGGGCTTCCTTCAGGGTTAGAGACCACCAAAGCTTGCAGTCAGAGCTGCGCCCCGCTCCCGCTCCCTCCCTCCCCTTCACGGAGCTCCTCAGCCCCTTCCCTGCCGCACTCACCGGCTTTGTCACTCACCGGCTTTGTCGCTGGCGAAGTCCCCTAGGCTCAGTCGCTGCAGTGGGAAGTCTACACCTACTGAACTCTTCTTGATGGAGCCTCGGGAGGCAGAAAATCGATTAAGATCTAAGGTCTGGTTAAGGAGAATTTGGGAGGCAGAGGGCCTTTGAGGGGGGCTGAGGAGTTGAATGTTGTCCACCACCCTGAACACATCTGGGGAGCATGATGGGGAAAGGTAGAGTGGCAGGCTTTTCCTAAGGCAAACTGAATTCCCTAACGTCCAGCATCTGTAAACATGGAAAATGTGGGAAAAGAATGAATGGGAGAAATAATCTGAAGATTAGGATACGGAGCACGAGAATTCGGGGGAATCTTTGTACTGTCAACTTTTTGGTACTTCGTGTTTTCTGCCGACATCGGTCACACACCTAAATAAATGTCAAATAATGTTATAAGGTTAATGTGTTCCTCACCTCAGTCGGCTTTTCTGGCATCCTGACTCGTACAAATTCACTGTGCTCTGTATGTACTTCTGTATCCTCTGGGCCGCTGCCCTCTGCCCTGGAAGCACCAGGACATACCTGAAACTCCTTTACAAACCCTGACACGTGTTATTCTTCATACTCAGGCACCATGCAACCCCTTTTACACATACGGAGCTCCCCCCCCAGGTTTCCCACCCTTACTATGTCCCTTGTGAACCCCCACATACTGGGGCATTCTCCGATTCTAGCTCTTCTTCCTTGGTGAAAAGGTTGAAACAATCTCGCAGAGACACCTTGCCCCCAGCAAATCCTTTCTGGGGGGAAAGGGGAGTGAAGGGTCAGCATGGTATGAATTTACTTTTCCAACTCTTCTCAAGTAATCCAAGCTTCATTTCTCCTCCAGAGACCCACAGGGTTCCCTCCCACACTAGGGGTGGGAGGGTTGCATCAGAGAACCCATGTTCCATCCACCCCTGGAATCTTCTGGAATCCCACCTTGGGGATGGGCAGGGACAGGTCACAGAAAACCTCGAAGGTCGTGGAGCGATACCCACAGGCCTGGCACTTGAGACAACTTTTCAACTGGCCCACAAACAGGTCTAGATAGAAGAAAAGGGGCAGGAGAAACAGTCACTGTGGGATGCCTAAGGTGCTTTCTTGGAATCCCATCTCTTCCCACCTCTGTACCTAACCTTTCCTTTCCCACCACCAACACGCCTCACAAACCCCTAACAACTTTTCCACCCAGTCCTGTTCCCATACCCCTCGATAGTATTGATTTTTTCTGCCAAGCCTGCACCACCCCCCTACACACACTTTCCCCCATCACTTTGTCTTATTCCATACCCACAATCTTGCTGTCCTCTCTTTCCAGGTAACGCTTCCACATTAGGTTGGCTCGATCGTCATCGCTACCACAGATCAAGGAAAGTGGGAAGCATCCATGAGACAGCAGGAATGCTGGGCACCCCCACCACCACTGAAATGATCCACAAAGCCTGTACCCCACCCCCTCCGTGCCCCAGCTCCTCCTCTCTATTTCAAGAAAGAGTCAGAGGAGTCCTCCTTCAGAGGACTTTCTGGTGAGAGGAAAACAAAGGAATGTAGACAAGGGAAGAACATGCCGTCTTCCTCCACCTGGCTCCAAACCCCTTTTGTACCTTATAAATTAATTATCCCCTCCTCCGTCAATATGGTGACAGCCACAGCACTATCTTCTGCTTCCATCTGCGCCCCTCAGCCTCCTCATTCCTTCTTCCTACTTCTGCGCTGTTTCACAAACCATTTTCTGAACTATGTATTTCCTTGGACCCTACAGCCTCAATCTTGACTGACTCACTTCTATGAAGGATGAATGCTGCTGATAAACTACTGGGGAGAAGAGGGAGGGGATGCAACCTTACCTTAACTCAGGTTCTTCTAGCAGAGCCCCTCCGAGGCGGGGTGGGGGGGGAACAGGACTACTGGCCAGGATTGGTGGAGCCCGGCGGCCTCGGCGGTTGATTTCGAGGTGTAGCCGCTCCATGAGGAGCTTCAGAAACTCTTGCGCATCCTGCTGGCTGCAGCCAGACAAAGAGCATGGGCAACTGACTCCTCCCTAGTCCACAGTCACTAATCTCTGCCCAGACATCTGTCCCCACTTCCTGGATGAAGAGCATCTCAAGGCTCAGATGAGGCTGCCAGAGCTCCCTACCCCCAGACAAGGCCAGAGAGAAATCCCATACCCTCCAGCTCTCCCACCTGTATCCAGAGAAGGAGGGAACGTATTTCTGGAAGACAGCTCGGAATCGAGTAGGATTCACAGCTTCACAGGAATCAGGGTGCCACAGGGCACCAATCACATCTGCAAAGGCTATTAGGATGGGAGTGGGGAAGGGAAACAAAAGTTAATGACTACAAGAGGGAAGCAAGGGGAGGCCCAGAGGGCGGAAAACAACCTCTAGGAAATGAGACACAAGGAAAAACAGATACAACTGCCAGCTTTCAGGCTCGGGGTCACCGCCACTGGCAGATGAACCTACACGGGGTTGGGGAAAAGAGGACTTGAAAGAGGGGAGCAGGCGTTGTTGCCTTACCTTCAGTGAGCTCCTGGGCTCGGCCCCCTCCAGGCACCTCTTGACGGAAGTCCCTTCGCAGACAGAAGTCCCGAAGAGGCCGGGTGCTGCTCAGACACTGTAGCACAGCGTTCAGGAAGCACTGGGGAGCAGGAGAGACACAAGATGCCTTAGGAGAACTTCAGTGCTGTCCTCCAAGTTTCCCTGCCCATGCCTGTCCTCAACACCAGCCCACATTCCTCTTAGGAAGGATGGAAGAATGGCTCTCACCGTGTTCCCCAGATTGCGGAGGCCAACGTGACCAGAGCCCAGAAGCAGTGTGTGATGAGCCTGGAAGGTCAGTACAGCACAGTCAACAGGTTCCTGCACACCCTACCTGGCACTTCCACCTTTCCACAGCGTGCTGCCCACTGCCTTCCCCATCCCATCCTTCACCCTCAAACTCTACACTTTTTCCCTCAGTGAGTATCAGGGTCTCCCTACCTCGCTGGCCAGGAGCAGTAAGCCCATCACAGCTGAGTGTACCACGGTCTCAGCCATGGCTGTCCCATCTGTTCCCCACTTACTCCTCTGCCCAGCTAGCCGGCGATGCAACTCCTGGGGCAACTCCCCAAGCACTGGCATGGTTGCCCAGCTGCTCCCCACCCCCACCTTGCTACCCGCAAGGCCCCCTCCTGCACCCGTGGCCCCTTTCTACACCCTCTCCTGATGGCTCCAACTGCAACCAGCCCAGCTCACTTAGCTTGGGAAATGGGCAACCACATTAGCTCAGGTGTTCTGAGCCCGCCCCTCCTTGGCTCCAGAGATTAATTAAACCTAGACAAGCATCCTAGGAGAGAAGGCCCAGCAAGGGAAATTAAGGGCCTGGGGACCCAAAGAATTCCAAATGGTTGAGTTAATTCCTCGGAGAATGAAATGGCAAACCATGCTGGGGAGACACAGACAAGCCCAAAAAGGGTCTATGAGGCTTGAGGGTACTTAAGTAAGGGAGAAGAGAGTCCACACTACTGAAATGAAGGGGTGAAAAAGGAATTTGGGGGAAAAGGAGAAAGGAAAGCCATATGATGGCAAGAAAGCTGGAGGCATGGAGGAACATGGGTATGGAAGGCCACGTGTGCTGGCGAATCCTCACCATCTTGTCATCGGAGTAGAAAGGTTCAGAGGGCCGGGCAGATATCACGTGGAAGGAGCCATGGGGAGTAGGGGGCTCTGTCCGTATGCTGAACAAAGTGGGTGGCCCAGGAAAGCCCCCGAGGCGGCGGAGAGAGGTGCTGCGTCTCAAAGGGGGTGGCTCAGGCCGAAGAGCCAAGCGACTCAGTGCAGCCCCTAGCTCTCCAGTGCCACGGTGCCCTCCCAAGGCAATCCCCATTGGACGCAAGTCACCACTGCTCACAGACTTGGAACGGGTTAGGTTGGTCCTGGATGGGAGAGGCAGAGCCACAGTTGGGGGTGGTGAGCCAGGCAGGGGAACTCCATGATCTGCCCGAAGTGGGCCGCTGGGACGAGGGCCTGAGGTCCGTCCCCGTCCCAGCTCCAGTTTCTTGAGCCGTTCCTCAGGGGGACCTGGCCTAGGAGGCAGAGGTCGTAACAAGGGATTTGGCCCAGGGGCTGGATTTCGGCGCTCCTTGCTCCGGGCCCGGGGAGCAAATGGTAGCTTGGATCCCACTCGGGGCTGGATATTAAGAGGTGGCTCTCGGGTCCGTCCCAGGCGGTGCTCAGAAGCCTGGGGCATTGTGGACACCACAGGCTGGACCTGGGAGAAGAAGACAGGGTCAACATCTGAACATGGAGGGAGGTGGGAACCTAGGCTACCATAGCTGGCTATACGCATGGAGGGCAGGACGCACATCTATCATATCAGTCATTGTATCCCCAGTAGCTAGCATAGTGTTTGGCACGAAGTAAACCTTAGTGACCACTGAGTAAATGAACGAATGAACGATAGCAGTCCAGAGCTTTGATTCGACGTTCCTTACCCTCTTCCTGCAGATTACAGCTTTACTGGAGAGCCAATGAAAAGACAGTTCCTATCTCGTCTGTCTTTAATCTAAATGTTCGTGGAGGTCCCCCATACTTGGCTAGTCAAGTGGGATGTGCTCTGGGTCATTTAGAACCTCTGGTCAAATAGGGGTGTGGGTGCAAGTATGAAACAGCCCCAAAGACAGCATTCCATTCTCAAACCTCTGCCCCTCCGGGCTGCAAATGAAGCAGATTAAAAGGGTGACTTGCGAATCACTCCCTCCCCCCGCCCCTGAGCTCCAAAGTGATGTCGGGGCTTAGGGGCAGTGGCGAGCAGGGAGGACGAACAACTAATTCCCTGACCCTCAAGCGCTGCACCTCGCCCACCACAGCAGGTTTCAACCGGGTCCGCCCCCCTCGAGGGCAGAAAGGCCGAGGCTGCTGATTGGCTACGGGGTCCAGAGGCATATTCTCCACGATCCAAGGATGCTGGTCCCTCCAGCCCAGTTCTCTCAGGCCTGCCAGGTCCCCAGCGGCTTTGCCTTTGTGGAGGGCGATCTCTCGAGTCTGGAGCAGTCTTCCCTCGGAACCCCCCACGCCATACGCCCCGGACCGTACCTGTCCCCGAGTGAGGCGGCGGGGGAGGCCAACCGGGGTCAGGCCTCAGCTCAGGGCCACCCCCTACTACCCTCGCGCAGCGCCCCCGCGGGCCCGGCTGCAGCTTTAGCCGCAGCTATTGCCCAGCTCTCTCCCGCCGCAGGGGCCGCCGCCATCTTTGTTGGTCCCGCCCGGCCACCGGCCACCGGCTTCACTGTCTCTCAGAGCGCCTGCGCACCCACACTCAGAATCCACCCACCTGCATCCTCGGCGCTTGCGTGAACCCGCCCCTTTGGCTCCGCCGCTGACACCATGGAAACACAGCCAACTTTAGGACCGCCAGTTCCCAGCTCTGCCAAAAATTTTCTTTAAACCACCACTCCAAAGCAAGTCCCTAAAGTACAGAGTCCCATCGCCCCATCTCGTGGACTTAAAGGACAGAAACCTGACAATCGTTGTATGGTTCCCCGGCTTGCAGCACAGACCTTCCCAGGGAGCAAGGATGCGAATGCAGGGTCTGGGTCCAGCTCACAGACCAGAGAAGTATCCACATAGGGATGGGAAGCTCCCCGGAGGGCAGGGAATACTGGCCTTGCAAAACCAGTCCTCAGTCATCTTGCAGGCCGAAGCAGGAGTCTCCCTGCTAAAGCACATGTGCAGATTTCAGCAGCAGGGACAGCAGTCAGGATGTCCTTTCATTCTGGTCCAGTCCAGAGCTTCCTCCAGGTCCCCCTCCCTCCTGAACTAGGATGGTCGTATACGTGCCTTGGGTGGTAGCCTGCTGACCCTTAGGCTACTCACCCACTATTACAGCCACCAATAAGAACCGCAAGCCACCAGAGAAAGCAGCTTTTATTGATGAGTTATCTCCGGAAATCAGAAAGACTATGTACCCACTTTTGGTCACCCCCTATCCCTCCAGACCTCATAGTGCTCCACCTAGGGAAGGGCTATAAATTGCCTCTAGGTTTTTCAAGGCCCTAGTCTTTCCTCTTCCTGTGTAGCCCAATGCTGTGTTTTTCATCTGTGTCTACTGCAGCTACTTAGTAACAATTATGGGTGAGAGAGTGTCGGGGGAAGCAGTTAGATGAGTAAGAAGAATGATGCACAGGAAAACAGGAACCGTAGCCTATCAAAGGTCCCTCTGTCCTGCCTCAGTGGCTTGATCCTTCATTGGCTGCATTTCTCTTTATGCTGAATCACTCCCTTCTGAATCAGATCGGGGATTTCCACTGCCAGCCATGGTCCCAGCTGCAATACAAGCGAGACCCTGTGAGATTACTACCAGCCAGTCAATGCCTTGTATTCCACCAGAAGCTCCTTCCTAGAGATAGTCTAGGAGAACATACCCAAAGGAAAACACTGTTATTCCATGTTTACTCTCACTTTTCTTATATTGCTCAGGACCAACCCCCTTCCCCTCTTATATACCAAATACTCCAAACTTACCCCCAGAGCCATGAGATGAGCTAGTCCAAACTTAGGCACATTCCTGGCCCACAAAGGCTTAAAGTGATCGGTCAGGCATATTTTGCCACCCCTATGAGAGGAACAAGATGTCGACATGCAAGGTACACCATAAAGCAAAGCAGATTCTTGAGAGCACAGGAAGACAACTGGGGATCAGAACTGAGAACAAGGTCATCTAAGTGCTTTGCCCAGGCTTGGCAGAGGGAGATGTGGAATTTCTCTAGGTCTGCAGATTCTGGGAAAATTTCTGTCTTGGAGAGTTCTTCACCAAGGCCTTCTTTGACCTTATCCCATCTCCTGTTCAGTCCTACCTGTACATCTTTGCTGTTTTTCCATCTAGTTCAGGTACTGCAATTTCTGGAGCAGTAGTGGGATATGTGATAGGAATCTGGAAGAATTACAAGGCTTTAATATGACAGAATCAGAATAGAAAGGAACTAATCTAATCAGACATACACATTTCTTGGTTGAAATGAAAGGTTCTGCAAACTCTCCCAAGCATCAGGTACACAGCAGGGTTCTGGACATGGAGATGAGTAATTAAAACTTATGCTTGTTTCAAACCTTATTAAGATTTTCCCTCCCATTTAAAAAGTTTTCTTTGGTCCCTCCAAGAAAGGTTAGCTTGTTAACAATCACCTAATCCCTCGTCCTCTCCTAACCTCCATTAACTACCACTCCATCATACTCACATCAAACTCGATGTCAAACTCATATTTGAGGAGGTCATGGATGTACCAGCATTTTCCAAACCACCTATAACAGAAACCAAACCTCAGTCCAATTTTCCCATTCTCCTAATACTCATATGACATCTTTTTGGCTTAGGTGACCACCCTGGGAGACCCATAGGTTGGGAACTGGGAACTCTGGAGTTGTGGGAGTGAAGACTAGAAGGGGGCAGGAAAGGCCTGAGAGTGGGTTGTGGGACACCAGAATGCTTAAGCTACGTAAGATCCCCACCGCCACACCTCCCGAGCGGGTCTGCCTACCGAGTCCCTTCTTTGTTGGACTCCAGTCGGAACCAGTCATTGTCCGCATTCTTGTTGTTCTCCACATACTAGAAGCAGAGAATGAGGTCTTCGAGGGGGGAATTGGGGCCAAGGGCAGTACGCCTTCCCTCAAAAGAAGAGTGATTACTTACTCTCTTAGTAAGTAACTTTTCCCAACTTTTCTGACATAAGTTGAAGTCAAAGCCATATTGGTAAGTAGGGTACTTGCACAGAACAGAGAATAGAATGCTTGGGTTCTACTCCATTTAGCAGGCACAAAACACTTTATGATGTTGCCTGGCTTTTCTTCTCACTTCTGACAATGTCAGCCACAACTCATTTTACGGCACATTCCTTCCCGACTTCATTTTGTCCTAATTTTGACTAGCACTCATATGCTGATGACTTCTAAATCTTTATCTTTAAACTAGAGCTTTTCTCAGAGCTTCAAAGTCTATATCCAAATGTATACTGAAATTTCTACCTTCATTCCACAGGTACAGTTCAAACTTGGCAGTGTGAGTTTCCCCCTAGTCCTTCAGACTTGTTTCTCCACTGCACCAAGCTCCATTGGCAGTATTAGTGTTCAGTCACCCAAGCTAAAAACCTGGAAATCATCCTTAAGCCTCCTCCTCCTTTACAAACCAATCTTTTCTGATATCCTGCTGATTTACCTTCTGAATATCCTTCAAGTCTACCCTCTTCTCTCTCTTACCATAACTGCTGAGTTTATATAATCACTTTTCTTTTGCCTGGACTAATGACAGCCTCCAAGCTTCAGCCTTAGCCCTGCCAATTCTGTCTGCCTCTTTCCTGCCAGTGATTGATCTAAACCCAAATCTCATCATGCTACTCCTCTGCTTAACATCCTTTAAAGGAATCCCAATGCCTCCAAGATAGAGTTCAAGTGCTCATATCTATGTATTAAGTCTTATCTACCACTCCCTGCCACACCTTGATGCTCTAACAACTCTGAACTACTTGTGTTTTGTCTCATATGTCATGTGTTTCTAGCTTCCATAACTTTGGTCATGCTGTTCCTTTTGCCTTGAATGTTCCTCTCTTAGGCTCGTTTTTTATAAGGCTAACTTATGTTTACCCTTTCAGTCTCAGTTCAAGCATTGCCTCTTCTAGGAAGCCTTCCCTGACCAGACCCAAGCTAGATTTAGGTATCTCACCTCCTGCTTCAAAACATCCTAGCAATTTCTCAGATTCCTTCTCCCTCTTTCTCCACCTCATGTATTATAATAATATGTTTCTCTCTATCAGTAGGCTACACTTTATTCGGCTTTGGATGCCCTTCCTAGGTACTAGATGTACATTATATTTTAAATTTATTTTTTAGTGAATTCATGCATCAGGAAACCTTTGAAACAGACAGACACCACCGCAAGGAAGTCAAATTCTCTTTCCACAGAAGGGAGATTAGCAGAGAAAACGGTTCGTTCCTAACTGAGCTCAGCTCCTCATCACTCTGCAACTAATACCTACTTTAATTTTTCGCTCTAACATGTATTCCTACCTTAGGACAAGTGAAAGAGCGGAGGGACTCAAGCCCGGACTTAGGGCTCTAAGAAATCCTTAAGACCACCACGTCCCCTACATCCAGGAGAGTAATCACCTGGGGCCAGAAGGACACGTCATTTTCCTGGGCCGCGTATCCCTAACATAACTGCTGCTTTCAGGAAGAAAATCTGGCCCCACCGTGGTTCCTAACTTAAGTCTCTTCTGCCTCCTCCCCACCGAGGCTCCTTAAGTCCCCCAGCCCCGAAGTGATCCAGTATCTTTGAATTTGTAAGTTAAACTTTGAAACCGGAAGTGGATTCCACACGGAGCCTATTCCGATGGACACCTGATTACCCGCAACCCTTTTACCACGCGGTTGACAGTAGAAGCAGAACTGACCCGTATAAGAGACTGATATTCCTCCTTGAGTCTCTGCACCCACAACTCCCGATCTCGAGGTCCGGCGTTGGTCTTCAGCACCGGGATCTCAGACACGACACGCCGGGTGGCCTCGTCCGCCATCTTAGACCAGGGCACAAAAGAAATACGGAAGTGGTATTACCTGTAGTTTACATTCTGGGCGCCTCCATCTTTACTATGGGAAGATGGGGAGTTGGCTGCCTTAAAACTTCGCTGAATGCGATCTTTATTTTCTAGTAACGAAGACAGATTTGTCACCGGATCACCTGCTTGTGGGTGCAACGAGAAGAAAAGAATGGAAACGGATGACTCTGTCCTGAATATGGCACCTATCATTTAACTGCAGATTGCTCAAAGGGTGACTTCCGCTCATGCTCAGAGAGGTAATCTCAGAAAACCCTTCTGGACACTTGAAGAATTGTTAGAATTTCAGGCACTTTTAGGCGCTCTTCTGGTTCCTGTCATCCTAAAATGCGCGAGTCACCTGTTTGAGCTTTGATTAAACTTCCTTAACTTCCTTTTAGTTAGGCTGAGGTAGCAGGGAGCCACTATAGTCATCCATTCAGTTCAGTCGCTAAGTCATGTCCTACTCTTTGTGACCCCATAGATTGCAGCACGCCAGGCCTCCCTGTCCATCACCAACTCCCAGAGTTTACTCAAACTCATGTCCATTAAGTTGGTGATGTCATCCAACCATCTCATCCTCTGTTGTCCCCTTCTCCTCCCACGCCTTCGATCATTCCCAGCATCAGAGTCTTTTCAGACGAGATCGGGCGCGTTCAGGGTGGTATGGCCGTAGATCAGGGTCTTTTCAAATGAGTCAGTTTTTCGCAACAGGTGGCCAAAGCATTGAAGTTTCAGCTTCAGCATCAGTCCTTCCAATGGATATTCAGGACTGATTTCCTTTAGGATGGACTGGTTTGATCTTGCAGACGAAGGGATTCCCAAGAGTCTTCTTCAACACCACAGTTCAAAGCATCAAAAGTCATCTATTAGGAAGGTATTACACTGCTGAAAGTTATTGGAAACCATGGAGAATCAAAGTATTTACAGTCTCAGCCCTTAAACAGTTAACACAATTGAATTAGAGAATTCTTAATAAATGCCAAAGTTGTTGAAAGGCCACTAGAAAACTTGCCTTCCTCTAGCCTAGTCATTTTTGGGTCTGGAATTAACAAATCTAGGAGGGAATCATGTCTCTTATCTCCAGTGCATGGCACACAGTAGGTACCTAGTAATCCTTTTTCAGAATTTTGTATCTTCCAGTTGGTTTTTAAACAGAAGCACATTATTTTTGGCCTTAACTTACATGTCTTGTTTGCAGCATTAGTCATTGCAGCCTTTAGCTGTAATTTTGGATCAAATCCTATTAATCATGAAATTCTATAGTTTATCTACAAATTTAATTTCTTATGGCTGAAACCTCCAGTACAATGTTGAGAGCAAACACCCTTGTCTTGCTCTGATTTCAGGGAGGAAAGCATTGTCTTTCTTTCTTTCTTTTTTTGTCTTTCTTTTTTAAGTATGCTGTTCTCTATAGGCTTTTCACGGGTGCCCTTTATCAGGTTAAGGAAGTTCCCTTCTCTTCCTAGTGTTACAGGTTTTTATCATGAATGGGAGTGTTCCCCACTCCCTGAATGCTTTTTCTTTATTCACTGAGAAGATGATGTCGTTTTTGTCTTTTATTAGCATGCAATATGTTTCTTTCTTTAAAATATTGGATACTGGATAAGGCTAAGGCTAAGGCTAAGGCAAAGCTTTGTAGTATCTCACTAGAGTTTTCTCTCTTAGAGAAATAAAGATTTATTCTATTTTGAGTGTGGGCTTTGTGGTGTGATGGAGAGCAGAGATTTGGAATGAGGCATGCAATTTGATTGTCATAAGAATTTGGAGAAGGAGGAGAGAGAAATAGGGAAATGTAGGTCAAATTGGATGCACAGTGTTATAAAAAGAATACATTCTGAGGATTTAATGTACAGCTGGCTCAGCGGTAAATCCACCTGCAATGCAGGAGACTCAGGTTTAATCCCTGGGTCAGAAAGATCCCCTGGAGAAGGAAATGGCAACCCACTCCAGTATTCTTGCCTGGGAAATCCCAAGGATAGAGGAACCTGGTGGCTACAGGCTATGGGGTCACAAGAGTTGGATACGACTTAGTGAGTAAACTACCACCCCCAGCACCGCATGGTGACTGTAGACGGGCTTTCTCAGTTGCAGTGTGTGGGTGAGCAGGAGCTGCTTTTTGTTGTTGGGCACGGGCTTCTCACTGTGATGTCTTCTCTTGTGGAGCACAGATTCTAGGTGCATGGGCTTCAGAAGGTGTAGTATGTGAGCTCAGTAGTTGTGGCACATGGACTTTCGTTGCTCCATGGCATGTGGAATCTTCCCACACCAGGGATTGAACCCATGTCCCATGCATTGCAGGCAGATTCTTATCCAATGTACCACCAGGGAAGTCCAATCTTAAACATTCTTAACCACACATGTGTTGACTATGTGAAGTGATGGATATGGGTATTGATTTTGGTAATCATTCCTATATGCGCTCGCGCGCGTGTGTGTATGTGTATTCACCACATGTATATGATATATACATGCAGATGTACATCAAGCCATGATTTTTAAAATATACAATTGTATTTGTCAATTATTCCTCAATAAAGTAGGGGAGGGCCGGACTTTGGTGAGTTACTTTATCTCTGTGAGCTGCATGTCCTCACCTATGAAAGAAGGATAGTAGTGTTTATAGGGTGATTTTAACTATATATGCAATCTTTCTTTCTCGCTCTCTTTTTTGCTGAGCTTTTCATTTTTATTTATTTGGTTGTGTCAAATCTTAGTTGTGGTACATGGGGTCTTCATTGCATCACACAGGATCTTTTGTCGTATTACATGGACTCTCTAGCTGTGCCATGAGTGTGGTGTCTCTTCACGCATTCACATAATAGACTTTCAGGATGAAATTCAAGTTAAATATATGGCAGTGATTTTCAAACTTTTTGTAATACTGGAGCTAGTTCAACAAGCAAATTCTCACTTGGAATCTCAAAATACAAAAATGATTAATGCAGAGATGTTCTTGTTCAAGTGCAGGCAGAGACCTCTAGCCTTAGAATACTTCCCCTATGGTAACGACTTATCACACTTTATTGTTTAATTGTTGTGAAAGACTGGAAACTCACAGTAAAGACTGTGTGTCAGTCTTGTTTATACAATAATACTGTGGTGCCTGGCACCAGCTAAGTGCTCAACTAGTATTTTTAAAATAAAAGAATTTCTTGATGAGTTAGGTAAGCATCAGAAAAGCTGTCTCCCTAAATCTTTATCTTTCTTTTTTTAAAAAACTCACCTTATTAGACCACTTTGTAAAGCAGAGCTCATAATGCATGATAAAAAGCTGTCTCTATTGTAAGCATAGTTGCATTTCTGTAAAGTATATTTATTTTGAGAAATGGTTCATTTAAAATTTTCAATTTAGCTTATTTTTGTTTAAGGACTTCTGATAAGAGATCAGAAGGTAAAGCTGAGAAGACTGAAATAAGTGTGTAGGCCTGAGCTTCATCTTTTTTCCAAAGGAAAAGCTCATTCATGCACAGTTCATGCATTTATGGAGGTCTTACTACATTCAGGCATTGGAAATACAGTAGTGCATAAGGCAGGCAGAGTACTTGACCTGAAGGAAATTGTCCTAAAACAGCTATAAAAAGGAATTGGACAGAAATGACTGGAAATTTCAATTCTGGGAAATGCACTGACATCAGACCATGGTTTTGATGGGATGGTACTGTTGGGTACATGAGGGTGCCCCTGAAAGTAGTTGAAAATCTCATTGTCAGTCATCATGGAGAAAGGTAGCCCTTGGGACAAAAGGAGAAATACTGTATTATGGAAACAAACTTTGGACTAGGGGAGGAATTTAAGTTTTTCCTCATTCTGATCTTTAAGGGGTTAGTCTGGACTCGAATATTCTCAGAGAATATAGCTCAGAATGGTGAGAAGAGGGAGCCACCCTAAAGAGAATCAGTCAAGGCTGTGGTTTTTCATTGGTCATGTATGGATGTGAGAGTCGGACGGTGAAGAAAGCTGAGCACCGAAGAATTGATGCTTTTGACCTGTGGTGTTGGAGAAGACTCTTGAGAGTCCCTTGGACTGCAAGGAGATCCAACCAGTCCATCCTAAAGGAGATCAGTCCTGGGTGTTCATTGGAAGGACTGATGTTGAAGGTGAAACTCCAATAGTTTGGCCACCTCATGTGAAGATTTGACTCATTGGAAAAGACCTAATGCTGGGAAGGATTGAGGGCAGGAGGAGAAGGGGATGACAGAGGATGCGATGGCTGGATGGCATCACTGACTTGATGGACATGGGTTTGGGTGAACTCCGGGAGCTGGTGATGGACAGGGAGGCCTGGCGTGCTGCGATTCATGGGGTCGCAAAGAGTCAGACACAACTGAGTGACTGAACTGAACTGAACTGATAGATGGGTAACCAGTTCAGAAAACTTTTTTCCTTTTGTTATTGCCTTTAATTATTCTGGAGACTTCAGCAAAGAATTCTTATAACACTCAGAGAACTTGGTGGAGAGAATGATTAAAAAAAAATTTATACAATGCTTACAGTGTGCTAGGCGCTGTCCTAAACATTAAAAAAAATTAGATCCTTTAATTCTGGCAACAATCTTAATATAGTTACTTCATTAGCTTCATTTACATTTGAAGAAACTGAAGAACCCAACTGAAGTTGGGGTCAATGAAAGAAAGCCCTATATCACACAGCCACTAAATGGTAGAATTGGCATTCAGTCCCAAGCACAGTCTGGCTCTAGAGATCACATCCATAATCAGCTTTCTACCATTTCTGGGCCAATGTGAAATTAGTTGCAGTGATCTGAGGGGTCAGAGTTGGTATTAGAGGGCTATTCATCACCCTTAAAAGGCAGACAGTTATCAAAACACAAAGAGATTGCAGAAATAAACAGTAGAGCTGCAGAAACATAAATGGGACAACCAGCAGCCCCCTCCCTGGAATGGGCTGAAGTGTGCACAGGACTCTCTGAGGTGTTACTATCACCCCTAGAGATTACAGAACTATGGACTTTGAGT